CCCGGGTCTCGGCTGCTCCCCCTGCCGCTGGTGGCAACGACTGGTTGGGCACCCAGCCTGGGGCTTGTCACGCCTGGTGCCAGCTGGCGCTGGGTGTACGGACAGGGTGCGGGGTTGTGCTTCAGCCTCATCTTCAGCTTCCCTGGGCTTCACTGTTTCTGTTTGCCATCTGCCAGGGAAGGGATCCAAGGACTTCTGGCTGCTGGGGAGGGGATTTGGGTCCAGGCTCATTTCTCTAAGCCAAGGCACAGGAGGGGCCTTCGCTTGCTCATGTGCAGGTGGGGAAGTTAATTTTGCATTTGAAAGCTAACGAGTGATGCATTCATTGAGTACTGTGGGATAACTGGGGGGCAAGGGTGGCTCGCTTCCTTCCTATCTCTGGATGCTGCCATGGGCAGCAAGGGCAAAAAGACCCCTGTCCCGTGGGGGTTGGGGAACTTACTTACTTACACACGGGCAGAGGCAGCAGATTCCAGCAGTATCCCTTGCCCACGTTACAGAACGTGGTGCTGGCAGCAGGAGCAGCAGCAGAATGGGAGTGAAGCCCAAGCCCTGCGCCTGGTGTGTGCCTCGTGGGCTGGGCTGGTCTCGTGGCTGTGTGCTGGGAAGAGACATTGTTCATTTGTCCTTGGGAAGCTGTTCAGTGGCTCATGCTGGAGCCTCCCCCTGTAGCTGCTGGGGTCACCAGCCAGCTCCTCACCAACGGCAGCAGGAGGCCAACCCTTGGTGTGAGGCACGTCCTCCATACACGTACCAGAGCTTGCCGGGGCTCAGCGCTCCCAATCCATTTGCTGCATGTTTTGGGATGCTGGGCTGACTGCAGATTTTGTGTCTCTGGAAAGAAATAAATCTGTCCCTACATCTGGTTCATCGAAATGCTGCTCTTGCTTGGCTAGAGGAGTAGCTGCTGCTCTGATCTGCCCCTGTGGTCCCTGCTTAGGAAGGGGGGAGCTCCTAAACACTAGATGTGAAGTCACTCAGGTAAGCAGGGGCTGTGGGGGTCCAGGGACAGAGCAGATCTCTCTTTCTTCAGGAACTTTCCCTTGCAAACACTTTATAAAAAATTAAAATATTTTTTTAAAGCTTAAACCAACTGTTTTCCAGCCATAAAATGGTAGATTGAGACTGACTACTAAAAAAAGCCGAGGTGCTTAATCTCTATCCCTGCAGAGAGTGAAACCCTGGCCCTGCTGAAATCAAGCACTGCTGTTGCCTTTGCATGAGTGCTCAACGGCACGTCAGCGTTTCTTTTTTAAGCAAGGAATAATGATGTTCACACATCTTCAGCTGGCTGTGCCAAACTCCTCTCCTGGGTTGCCAATATTTTGGGAGAAGAAAAAAAAAGGATTGAAAGGCTTGAAATTGTCAGACTGAGTCAAAAATAAATTTCACCCTAATTTCTAATACCTGGGAAAGTACAAAGTACCCCACAGTGGGTAGAAGGGGACTAAACAGGGCAGAGTGTGCCTGCTGTATCATACTTGCCTAATTAATTTTGCTAATGGTGGCGGCCTGTGACAGCTACATCAGAGAGAGAGAGGCAACAGGCAGAGCTGCAGAGTGAGCCTGAGCCAGGCTGATGGCTAAGCAGGATCGCCTGGTCTCCTGCATCTCCATCAGGGGTTACTGAAGTATTGTTGCCTT